CAAGTGCTAGTCGACTCCCCCCCCCCCCCTTGGGAAATTTGCAGAATAATGCTTGGAATTTCCGTTGTAAGTCTAGAAGAATCTCTTGCATACTCTTTCTTATGCAGGAAATAGAAGCACGTGATTACGTCGAACAACAGCAAACGCAAGGTATGTCCCAATGGGATGAATCTTCTTGACCATGAATCTTCTTTTCTGCTCTACTATATGTAGTTATGGTCAGCTCTCGCATAAAATAACGAAAAGAAAAAACATCATCGAGAAGATCGCGATCCACTTTTTCCAATGGTTTTTGCTAGCATTAAACAATCCCCGTTTTTAAAGACTAGGAAGATGAGGGACAGACGAGTGTGGTGTGGATGCTGGAGTTGGACTCATACTATTACAACAAATCTCACATTCATCTATTAGTTGCAGGAGTTCTTGCGGCGAAGGGCCGTTCAATCCCTGAAAAAAAAACTGGTAATAAACAACTGAGCATGGGAAAGAAGTTTGTACAAAACGACCGATTAGGCAGCATTCAGACTTTGCGATGACGCGCGTCGACGCGCTGCTATTGCAAAAGCGCTCCAATGCTATTGATGAGAACGCAACAACAGACGGGTATGAGCCGGTACCGGTCGCTCTTTCTGGTAGGAAGTATGGGAGAATGGGATGGTACGCGTTGCGCGATCACTTAGTCTGGTACCCTCCTATTCTTCTATACTCTCTTAGAACAACAGAGACCGGTGCTGATCGATGCCAGACGGTGTGATTGGGCGAAGCGTACTCTCCTATTCCCCTGTACTCCTTCAAATCATAATCGAGCGGTGCCGATCAAGTCCCACGGCCGCATTCGCTTCTACAGCACTGGAGCGCAACTGCAGTGGTAGACTTCGACGCATGTCATCGCGAAGTCTGAACGCTGTCTCTAACGCCGACTTCACAAGACCTCTCTAAAGAGCAATGGCACCTATTGTGACCGCTGCTGGTGGTAAAAAACGTTGGGAAATCATTGATAGAGAATAAGCATAACAAATGTAAACGAAAAGCTGAGTGAAGCTTACTTGTAACATGATCGGGGGTACTTTCACACTGCTGGATGACGTCTTCAGAGAATCCAAGCTGGTAGCTGATTGAGCACTAGCTAACGAAGACTGACGAGCGGTCATGTATTGATCCAAAGCCGTCGTTAAATCCCACATCTGCAATTCTACTATTAAGCAGCTCTCTTATTAAGAAAGCGTTACTAAATGGGTTCCTTTCAAGCTTCACTGGTGCCAGTTCCGTTAGAACGCGGTCATACTTTGTAACCCGACCGCCTGCATCGCGCGATCTTATTGCTCGAACGATTGGATCGCGCGACCACAGCTGGGGGAGCTCCAGCGCCAGCCGGTGGCTCTACAGAACGGCAGGGTTTATTTGGCCTTCGCTTATGCACTGTAAAAATTGAACTGCGATGTGGGGCGGCCCATCCCCGTGTGGTGGAGCACCCCCCCCGTCGTGGTCACGCAATCCAATCGGTCGAGCAATCCGACAGCGTGATTAAAGCGACCAGATCGTGAAGTATGAACGCGCTCTTACGACATGGGCTCACAGGACTTGTCATTTGCGGAGCATCGACCTCTCCGCTACGCTGAAAAAGTTTAGACAACGAGAGCTTCATACTGGGGAAAAAAGCCAAATTCTACGAAAGCTTAAAGACACATACACCCTGTGTATTAGCGTACTATGTGCTTTAAAGTAACCACCTGCACACTTCCACTAGTAGTTCCACAAAACAGGAAACGACGTGGTCGGCTACCCATTCGATTCGATC